GAGATCGCTCTTTATTTTTTATTATTAATGCTATGGTTTTTGCCTCTTAGACTCACTTTCATTTTGTTCCATATGTTTGGGTATGTTTTATATTGATTTTCATTCAATTCTAGAAGGTCTTTAATTTCTTTCTTAATTTCTTTACTGACTCATTTCTCATTCAGTAGAAAGTTGTTTAATTTCCATGAATTCAAACGCTTTCTGTTGTTTCTATTGTTGTTGATATCCTGCTTTAATCTGTGGTCCTCAGATGGGATGCAGGATGTTATTTCAATTTTCTTATATCCTTAGCCTTACGTCTCATTGCTTTATGTCTGAGTATGTAGCCAATTTCAGAGAACATTCCATGAGGTGCAGAGAAGAAGATATATTCTTTTGTCTGAGTGTGAAATGTTCTGTAAATATCTGTTAAGTCCATTTGGTTTATAGTCAGTTAGCTCTAGCATTTGTCTGTTTAGTATTTATCTGGGTAACCTATATATTGGTGAAAGTGGGGTATTGAAGTCTCCCCCTATCAGTGTGTGAGGGTCAATGTGTGATTTCAGCTATAGTAATGTTTCCTTTTTTAATTTGGGGGTCCTTGTGTTTGTGACATTGATGTTAAAAATTGCAATGTCAGCCAGGCAGTGGTGGCACATGCCTTTAATTCCAATATTTGGGAAGCAAAGGCAGGCAGATCTCTGTGAATTTGAGGCCAGCCTGGTCTACTAAGTGACTTCCAGGACAGCCAGATCTGTTACACAGCGAAACCCTGTCTAGAAAACCAAAGGCAAAACAAACAAAAAAATTACAGTGTCCTCTTGGTGGATTTTTCCTTTGATGAGTATATAGTGTCCTTCCCTATCTCTTCTGATTAGTTTTGGTTTGAAGTCTATTTTGTTGGATATCAAAATGACTACACCAGCCTTTTCTTAGATCCATTTGCTTGGAAAATCTTATTTTGTCATTACGATGGTGGTGGTGATGGTGGTAGTGGCATGGGGGGGGGGGTTGTGTAATTCCTCTCTTTTGATTTGCTGGTCTGATATTATTTATTCCTTGTATTTTCTTGGATGTAGTTAACCTCTTAATGATGGAGTTTTCATTTCAGCACATGCTTAGGATTAAGTTTATAGATAGATAATGCTTACATTGTTTTTATTATGCAATGTCTTATTTTCTTTATCTATTGTGATTGAAAGTTTTGCCAGGCATAGTAGTCTAGACTAGCATTTGTGGTCTCTTACAGTCTGTAGAACATCTGCCCAGGCCCTTATGGCTTTTAGAGTCTCCATTGAGAAGCCAGGTATAATTCTATTAGGTCTGCCTTCATATGTTACTTGGTCCTTTTCTCTTACAGGTTTTTAGTGTTATTTCTTTGCTTTGTACATTTAATGTTTTGACTATGTACCATGGAGAATTTCTTTTCTCACCCAGTCTATATAGTGTTCTGTATGCTTCTTGTACCTTACAGTGTGAACTCTTTCATGTTTAATAAACTAGAGTGGTAGCTAAAGAATATCTTACATTCACTGCATTCAGAAAGCCTGTCTCCCATGCAACTCCTCCAATGACTAGCAAGAGTAAAGCACCTGCTAAAGGACTTCCCACATTCAGTGTACTCATAAGGCCTATCTCCAGCGTGAACCCTTTCATTTATGATGATAATGGATTTGTTGTTAAATAATTTTCCACATTTATCACACTCATGAGATCTTACACCATTATGAATTCTCTGGTGTTAGAAGAGGTGGGACTGCTATGTGAAGAATTTCCCACATTTGTTACACTCATAAGGTCATTTTCTAGTATGAACTATCTGGTGTTTAGTAAGCAACCACTTTGCCAAACATTGGTCTAAGCATGGGAAATCCTATGGAAGAAGGGGAGGAAGGATTATAGGGGGCAGAAGGATCAAGGACACCACAATAACATGACCCACAGAATCAACTAACCAGGGCTCAAAGGGGCTCACAGAGACTGAAGTGACAATCAGGGAGCCTGTATGGGTCTGACCTAGGTCTTTTCCAAATATGTTATGGCTATTAGTTTGGTGGTTTTATTGGACTCCTAATAGTGGGAGTGGGGGTATCTCTGACTCTTTTGCCTGCTTTGGGGACCCTTTTCCTCATACTGGATTGCCTTGTCCAGCCTTGATATGAGAGTACGTGCCTAATCTTATTGTAATTTGTTATGCCATGTTTGGTTAATACTGCTGAGAAGCCTGCTCTTTTCTGATGGGAAATGGAGGAGGAGTGGATCTAGGGGAGAAAGTAAGTTGGGGAGGGTCTGGGAGGAGAGGAAGGAGGGGAAATCTGCAGTGGAATAAAATATATGAGAGAAGAATAAATAAAAAATAATAGAAAATAAAAGTAGCAGCTTTAGACAAAGGATTTCCCACATTCACTACACTCTTAAGACCCATGTGAATTCTCTCTCTAAAGATGTCATACTTCCTACTAAGTAATCTTCCATATTCATCACATTGATGGGGTCTTACTCCCATGTGAACTTTGTTGTGGGTAATGAGGCTAGGCCTTTGCTTGGAGGATTTGGTGCATTTTCTATATTCATATAGCTTTTCTGAAGTATGAATTCTTGGATAACCACTGAGGCTACAGCTTGTACTGTAACATCTGTGGTGGTATTGTGTTCCCCGAAATATTGTGAATGCTAATAAACTTATCTGGGGTCAGAGAACAGAATGGCCACAATGTTAAACATAGAGGATAGGCAGTGGTAGCACACACCTTTAATCCTAGCATTCCAGAGGCAGAGATCTGCCTGGATCTCTGTGTGATACAGCCAAGCATGGTGACTCACGCCTTTAAAGCCAGAAAGTGAGCCTTTAATCCCAGGGAGTGATAGCAGAAAGCAGAAAGGTATATAAGGCATGGAGACCAGAAACTAGAAGCTTTTGGCTTGGTTAATCTTTTAGGCTTCTGAGTAGCAGTTCAGCTGAGATTCATTCTGGCTGAAGACTGAGAGGCTTCCAGTCTGAGGAAACAAAATCAGCTGAGGAATTGGCGAGGTGAGATAGCTGTGGCTTGTTCTGCTTCTCTGATCTTCCAGCGCTCACCCAATACCTGGCTTCAGGTTTGCTTTTATTAGTAAGACCTGTTAAGATTCGTGCTACAAACATCTTTCCCTGCTGATGACGTATCAGCAGCTGAATGTTTACATACTCTCCCAAGTTGTAATGACTCTTTCACAGTGGAAAAGGCCAGTGCTCTCTCACATGTGTTATTGGACTTCTTGCCTGTATGAGTAACTTGTTGTCAGAAAAGTTCTGAGCTGAGGAGGAAGTCCTTCCCAGCCTCTCTGCTAGATGACTTCTCAGACACTTGGAATCTGCAACTGTTCAGCAAAGAGTCCTTGTCCACCTTGCTTCTGAAGTTCTTTTCTCAAATCTGCTGCATTTGGTGTTGATGAAGATATGTAGTGAACTGTAATTGTTTCCCAAATATTCCATCAATGTGTAGTTCCAGCCCATGATGCTGGTTCTCAGCCAAGTACAAAATTTCTCTTGAAACTAAGCTACATTTCACACAAGGAGGACCTCCTATGAAGAATACCCCTTGAGAGATCCAAACTGTCATGATGTGCAGAAAAATTCTGCCCCCCCCAAAAAAAAACCATATTTGGTCTCCTCCACCTCTGTTCAATGCCAATCACATGAAAGAAAATGCTAGTAATGTGCCTGATACATTTTGTGGGAGAAGATAGCCCACAGGAAAATGTGTGACTGATAAACAGAAGAACTGAGCACATGAAACTGTTTACAGAATCAGGGATCTGGGTTCTGATTCAGGATGGAGTTGCCTAGAAACTTTTGCTTTATTTAAGCAATAGAGCCATGGAATACAAAAACAGGAGGAATAGGGTCCACAGCTTGTTCTATTGGAACGACTGTCAGCAGGATATTGTCTTCTGCTGACATATTCTGAGGCCAAGAAGATTCCACAACAGAACAGCTGCCCTTCAAGGACCGCATTTGTATGTAGCAAAGGAAACAATCGCCACAGTAAAAAGACTGCCTACAGAATTGGGGGCTGCGAGAAACCATTGAAAACTTCCAAAAGTCTTCAAATCTCCACACTGATTGACAGGAACTTACAACCATAAGGCCTATACAGCCTTCATCTGCAGTTCCCTAGAACCGCAAATCTACTCTTTGTAACTATAGGCTTTGCCGTTTATGGGTGTTTTATGTAACAAAATCACACGATAGGTGTCTGGTTTCTTACACTCAGTACAATGTTTTCACTATGAACACACATATGTGGAGTATACATCAGTACTTCACCCCCTTAATTACTGAGAAATATTCCATCATATGGATAAGTTGGAGTTTGTTCATCTATTTATCAGTTAATGTGCTAACATTTTACTGTATAGCCCAGTCTTACTGTGACCACCTCCCAAGTCATGGGACTACAGGCATATGCTCTCATGCCTGGCTGTATAATGCTGTTTTAAACGTGTACAAATTTTTGTATGGACATATATATGCAGGAGAAGATATGCTGGCAGATGTAGTAACTCAGTGTTTATAGGAATGACTGACTAGACTGTTTTCCAAAGCAATTGCACTCAGAACGGCAATGAGTGGGAACCAACACAGAACTGTTGGGTTGTACTTAACAATGTACTTAACAATGTACTTACAGTGTACTAACTAAAATGTACAATGCACTAATAATTGTACTTAAACACTGAGGGGTTTTTTTGGTGATATTTTGTTTTGTTGCTTGATTCTCCAGCATGAACTTTGTACATGACAATATTGTGTTGAAAGGTCAAAAGATTGGACCTATATGAGGCTTGCCTCTTCTGTCTTCCCACAGCTCTTGGCTACTCACAGCCTACTGCATATGTTTGCTGGATATATAGCTCCTCAGTTCCCTCATTAGAGCTGAGAACCAACTGAGGTTGCCACGTCTTAATCTAGTACTATATTAAGATATCCTCAGTGTCTTCATGTGTAACATTGAGATAAATGACTGGATCTGATAGAAACATCCCTTAGAAAAGTTTTTTTAATAAGAATATTTTGCTATCACAGTCAAGAAGGATCCCTCAAATAAAGGAATAAGCTTTATTTCTGGTCTGAAGCCAAAGAAGAAAATCCTTGACAATTTGTCTTCATCGTTAACGAAATCAGGTTGTTTTCTATATTCTACTTAAGTTATAATTATTCATGGACTATCACAGCTAAGAAACAAGGTTCTCTGGAATTAAGTCCTGTTCATGTTCTTAGTCATCTGTGATCCATGCAGTCTGGTCTCCATGTTGTCTAGCACATGCTACAGTTTTCTTCTGTTTTCATAGATTCTCCTCTTCTTCATCTTTCTCCATGCTGTCATGACTCTCCACGTTGTCATGACTCTCCACTTGGTCAGCATAATTTGAACTCTCCAATGTATTCTCTGTCGGTAGATTTTGCTCTCCCTTCATTTTCTTCTTCAAAATGTGTTCCCTTCTTTTTGTTCTAATAACTGAAATATAGAAACGATATTATCAAGGTTGGAGTAATGGAAGGATAGATATGAAGACAAAGCAGTGAGGGGGTAGTCATAGAAAAAATAAAAACATTATCAGAGAATAATAAATGTTACTGATCTAAGAAGGATAGTAAAATTTTTAAGATTTTACTTTGGTTTTTGGTTTGGTTTGGTTTGGTTTTTTGAAACAAGCTCTTGCTGGCTTTGAATTCACCATCCTGCTACCACTTCCCAAGTGCTCTGAATCCAGGTGTGAGCCACCAACCCTCAGCTGAAATTTGAATTTTAAAATTATTACATTCTATGTTCAACCCTTTAAAATACCCAATAACCCCCGCCGGGCGGTGGTGGCGCACGCCTTTAATCCCAGCACTCGGGAGGCAGAGCCAGGCGGATCTCTGTGAGTTCGAGGCCAGCCTGGGCTACCAAGTGAGTTCCAGGAAAGGCGCAAAGCTACACAGAGAAACCCTGTCTCGAAAAACCAAAAAAAAAAAATAAATAAAATAAAATAAAATAAAATACCCAATAACCCAATGTAATAAAAAGACATTAGAAAATATTTTCCATGGCTTACAAAGGTGGTCAGCCTCAGTAGGCAACAATCATCACTTATGCTCTTAGTCTCTGTCTCTTTTGGGTTGGGCACATCTAGAATTGTTTAAGAATGAAGTGGAGGATGTTGCTGCATTGGGACCAGACACTGAGCTTTACATGTTGAACCTGAAAGCTTTTACAAAATCAAGCATATGAAGTATTTATGGCATCTTCTCCTCACAATGACATGTAGGCATCTATAATATGTCTGTGTCTCAGATAGGGTCCTTCCACTGGGAGAAATGATTTTTGTTGTATGGATCTGGAACCCATGTCTATACCAGCCTGAGGCAAATGGAAAGTCTGCTTGTAGATGTTCTAGATACAGGAATAATGCACCAATATGTTCAAGGGAAAGTTTCATTCAAAACAAAGGTTTTTTTTTTTCCTAAACACTGTCATGGATTCTTGGAATTGGCCCATATTGAGGATCAAGCAACTAGACAGCTACCCATTGATCCCTGGGGTGTGATGAGAATGGTTCATTTCTACATCATGAACATCCATCTTCCTTAACTCAGACTCAATTTTATTCCAGTTATATTTTCTTTTGAAAAACTAAGCCACCATTCATTCCCATCCTTGATCTGACAGGACAAAGCACCTGAACCAATGAACTTCCCCAGTTCCTCATTCTCTGGATGTGGTTCAGCAGTCTCAGCCTGGCCATCACCTTCGGAGACCTCCTTTTCATCTAAAAGTGGAATCTCGACATTTTCATACAACGCTGCAAGCTGCTGTTTTTCCTCAGCTTTTACCAGCCGACTGAAGAAAGATAGAGATGAATGTTAGGCAGATTTTTTTTTTTTACAGTGAATCATCCTGCTTTATATTGAAGGTTTTAAAGTTTTATTTATATGTGTGTTTATAATAGGGAGGGGAGGTGGTATCAGGTGCCTGTGAAGACCAGGGAGGAGAACATCAGATTCCCTAGATCTGAAGTTACAAGTACTTGTGAGCTACCCAACCAGGATGCTGGAAACTAAACCCCAGTCCTCTGCAAGAACCTAGAGTGCTCTTAACCCTCAGTCGTCACTACAGTCAAGATCATAGAATTTTTTGACTCAAGAGGCATTGCTAATACATGTTGGTAGATGGAGAACAGAGGCAGAAAAATACATTTATGTGAGACTTCAAATTTCTTATCTGGCCTAGTTGATTCATGTCAACAAATACTCTGACAGTCCCAAACCTCATAACTAAAGCAGGGCTGGATGTGAGTGACATACTTAGACTAGCTACAAAATTCAAGGAATTTACAACGGAAACTACTATCAATGCAATATGATATAAAACAAAATTAATGCTGAGAAAAGCCACAATGAACAAAATGTCAAGATTTTAAATAAGTGTAGGATATTACTGATAGTTCCTTTTCCAGAGCCTCTAAAACCCTGGCTTAGCCCAGTATAGATCCTGTACTTAATTGGAGCTAAGCAGACAGGTTGGCCAGTGAAGAGCTTGTCACACAAGGCTGAGGACCTGAGTTCAATCCCCAGCACCCACATAAAAAGTCAGATGTGATGGTACATACTAGTAATCCAACACTGAGCAGGCAGAGACAGGCATATTACCACAGCTCATTGGCCGCTCATCTAACCAAACTGGTAAATTCTAGATCCCAGAAGATCTCAAATAACAAGATGGATTGCCCCTGAGGAATGGCACCCAAAGTACACCTTGGCCTCCAGCCACACATAGCAACACACTCGCTCACATACAGAAAGATGTTGTTATTTTGTAAACTGGGGCTATTTTAGTATTGATATTTTATAACACTACATTAAAATATCATTCACTCTTGTGGTGGTTTAAATAAAAAATGGTCTCCATAGGCTCATAGGAAGTGGCACTATTAGGAGGTATGGCCTTGTTGGAGGAAGTATACAGAAGGTGGGGTGGGGAGGCTTTGAGCTTTGAGCAATAGAAACCTAACTAAGACAGAAGTTGGTATCAGGGACTGAGGCATTGCTGTGATAGGCCAGACCATGTTTTTGCTTGGAGGAATGTGGGCTTTGGGACTTTGGGTTAGAAAAGCAGTATAACACTCTAAGCATGGGTTATTGGGCCGTACATAGTAAGAGCATGGAAGACAGCGGTGCTAAGGGTGATTTGAACTGTGAGGGCCAATTCAAATGTTTCCAGAGGAGAAGAATATTAATATGTGGCCTAGAGACAGTTCTTGTGACATTTTGCCAAAGAATATGGCTGCTTTCTGCCCTTGTCCAAAAAGAAAAATCTGCCTGAGGCTAAGTCAAAGAATTATAGATTAACAGCTTTGGCAGAGGACATTTCAAAACAACCTGACATTAACTCTGCTTGGTTACTAGTGGCCAACACTATGCAGATCTATAATAAAAAGGAGCAAGCTAAGCAAGACAAAAACACAAAATACACAATTTGAAAAGAAAAGGGGGCACCAGGGAAGAATTTAAAGAAAACCCTGATGCTAAATGGAATTCGGAAAGTGAAACCCCACCTAGCTAAGCTTCCAACTTCTGAAAAGGAACTCAAGAACAGTCTAAATACAAGTGTGGCAGTACAAGCCTTTAATCCCATCATTCAGGAGACAAAAGCAAACTTATCTCTGAGTTCAAGGCCAGTCTAGTCTATAGAGACTAGACTGCTTGCCCTAGCAAGCAGCAGAACTTGGCAGCTTCAGCCATGTGGTTTTTCCTTAAAGAGTCAAGGATGGAAGAAAGCGGTTATGGAATCACCCTCCATGGCTAAGGAAAGCCACTGAGCCCAGGCACGTGTCAGGGATGTCCCTGCATGGATGCTCGAGAGGCCATTGTGTGAAGCTGTGAAGAAGCCTGGATTGCCTTGGAGACCCCAAAACGTTGGAAATGCCACAGCCATGGACACCTCCCAAGGAAAGTTGCTAAAAGGGAGTGGAGGCAGCCAAAGAGTAATAAGTGTGTTGTAGTCAACAAAGCTGAATGGAGTTGGAGATCTGAAGAGCACAGAGATGCAGAGTTTGGAGTTTGCCCAGCTAGTTGTCAGTCTTGTTTTGGTCCAGTATTTCCTCACTAAACTCCCTTTACTCCCTTTTGGAACAGTAATGTATATATGAGCCACTGTATGTGGGAGGTACACGATCTGCTTTTTGATTGGATTTTGATCTCTTGACTGTAATCTCCTGTAAAGAAACTTTGAATCTTGAACTTTTAAACAATGCTGAGACTTTGATAGACTTTGGGGACTTTTGAAGTTAAACTGAAAGTAGTTTTGCATTATGATATGGCCACAAGTCTATGGGGGGCAGGGAGTGGAATATGGTGGTTTGAATGAAAAAGACCCCCATAAGGAGTGGCACTATTAGGAGATGTGGACTTATTGGAGTACGTGTGGCCTTATTGGAGGAAGTGTGTCACTAGGGGTGAACTCTGAGGTTTCAAGTGCTCAAGCCAGGCCCAGTGTCACTGTCTCTTCCTGCTGCCAGCAGTATCCAGATTTTGAACACTCAGCTACCTCTCCAGCACCATGTCTGCCTATTTGCTGCCATGCCTCCCACCATGACAATAATGGACTAAACCTCTGAACTGTAAGCCAACCCCAATTAAACACTTTATGAGAGTTGCCACGGTCACAGTATCTCTTCACAGCAATAGAAGCCCTAAGACAATCCTGATTAGTGAATTTTTAAACATTCCCTTAAAGTTTGCAGTTGAAGTAGCGCCTCCCTCTGGCCACTGTCAGTTCAACTCTGTATGTGGATCTGTGGAGAGCTGACTCTGTTTGGTGTGGAAATGGATGACAGTGTTTTACTTTCTCCCGATATACTACTGATCCACCTAGCTCTATGTGACCTGGGGAATAAAGAATACTTTGATGACTAGCTTCATTGTATTCTAAAGAGCAGTGATAGAAGAAAAGCAGGGATATCATCCTAGATACAGGTTGTGAGATGGCAAAAAAAAAACCATTCTCACAAAATAGTTCATTAAATGTATTGAAGATGATTCAGAAAGAGTGAAGCATTGGTCTCAGATACAAATTTTTGAGGATTCAAAAACATACAGGAATGAAGATAACTACTTTAACTCAACGTTTTCAAATGTTGATATGAATACCAAAAAAATCCACAATAAGTCAAATATCTAGAAACAATCTGTGCTCAGCATATCTATACTCCCAGCTCAAGGCACAGGCTTGACAGAATAACAGTAAATTGTAGGCTAGCATGGGCTAAATTGTGAGACTCTGTGTCAAAAAAAATCCTTCTCAAAAATAAGTTTCTTTCTTATAAATGTCTTCATTTGCTATAGTCAGGTGGCCACCAACTTTAAAGGAAGTTTGTACTTTCTTTGGCTGTTTCTGTAAGATGTAATAGAATTCTAGACTGAACCAGAATGTGGTCTAAATAGCATGATGCCACTTTGGCTTAATAGTTTCAAAACGACCACATCACTTTGAAAAAGCTCCAACCAATGTGATTAAAGTATGTTGTATGAAACTCCCAATGAAGAAATAAAAACATTTTAAATATTTTTAAAAGATAAGAGTTTCACCCCAATATCTAAATTCTAAAAACCAGTCAGTCAGCAAAGTGATTGTCACCCTAGCCTGAGGACCTCAGTTAAATCTCAAGGACCTGCATAAAAAGCCAGATATGTTGGTACACACTTGTAACCCCAACACTGGGGAGGTTCTGATATTTCAATTCCACTAAATTTTAATCTGGCCTACTTTTCTTCTCCTTCTCCTCTTCCTCTTTCTCCTCCTCCTCCTCCTCCTCCTCCTCCTCCTCCTCCTCCTCCCCTTTCTCCTCTTCCTTCTCTTCTTCCTCCTTTGCTAGCATAACCAACAATCCACACTTTGGAATACACTGGTCTGGAAATGTAGTATGATCATAATAATTTAATAATTAGAAGGAATGTCATCATCATCATCATCATCATCATCACCATCCTCTGACACTAAATAATTTCCTTGTGTATTTCCTGCCTTATTAGTTAAGAATGGGGGAGGCATATACTTACTGTATCATATAGGAGATTATGAGTCCACATATCAGGGCAACAACAAAGGCTATACTTGAAACTGAAATTACATGAACAAGACCAGGTCTACGTGGAATTATTACTAAAAAATGGAAAGAAAAGAAGTTTGTTACAAAATAAAAGGAAACAAACACTAAATTTGGCAATACTTTTACAAATGACATCCCTAATTTTGAAAAATACTGAAGTTAGAGATCTCCCATTTAGGGCTGAGTACTCACTCCTAAGTCTCTCAGTCTCTGTATGTTGTCCAGTTGTGGGTCCCCATGTTAATTCCAATCTATCACAAGAAACCTCTCTGATAAGAGTTAAGTGATACTCTGATCGATGGGTACAGTAGTATGTCATTTTATTGCTGTTCCATTAGCAGAATAATAGTAGCAAGTTTTCCACTAGGACTCATGACCTATTAAGTATCTGGTCCTTGGCCACATGAGCAGTGTCAAGTATGGCTCCATCTCACGGAGTGGAACTTAAATCCAATCAAAGGGTAGTTGGTTACTCCCGTAATATTTGTGCCACTATTACACCAGCATATCTTGCAAGTACGTCACTGTTATAAGTAGTATTGTAGTTATTGTAGCTGAGTGATACAAATGATTATGCAGAAGAGGAGGCAGAAAGATTGTAAAAGGCAAAAGTGGTGGATGACCCACAGAAACAAGCTTTTTCCAGACATAATAGAGTTGATACACATATGACTATAACAGCATGCACAAGACCTTCCAAAGTTTAAACCAGATAAAATCTCAGGAAATGAGAATAGGAAGTGGACACAAAGTCCCATCCCTATCCAGGAATTTATTTGTGGTTGATACTTCCTGGGAGAGGAAAATCAGCTCTCTCCTATGAAGTGTCACTGTGTATATCAACCACACTCCAAGGCAGGCCCCATGCCCAGGAGAAGCTGGCCAAAACAAGACATACTCCATGGGGTTCTTTTTAATGTGCTTTTTGTTTAGGTACTTTTTGTCTTATGTGGTTTTGTTTTGTTGTTGTTGATAGTTTTGATTTTCAGTTTTAGTTTTGGGGGCTTGAAATATTTTTAGAGAAAGAGATTGTGACGTTGGGTGGGTACAGAGATGGGGAGGATCTAGGAGGAGTTGGGAAGAAGAATATGATCAAAATATATTGTGTAATTTTTAGTTAAAAATTAATTTTTAACAAATTCTGAGGCTAGCTCTGTATCACATTTGCAGTCAAAGACCCCTCTCTTTCTCTCTCTCTGACTCTGTCTCTGTCTCTGTCTCTCTCTGTCTCTTCCTCTGTCTCTCTGTCTCTCTGTCTCTCTCTGTCTCTCTCTGTCTCTGTGTCTGTCTCTGTCTCTCTCTCTGTCTCTGTCTCTCTGTCTCTGTCTCTGTCTCTGTCTCTCTCTCTCTCTCTCTCTCTCTCTCTCTCTGTTTCCTGTCCTGGATGTTAACTGTCATGTATCCCCTGCCATTGCAGACTCTCCTTTGGAGCCTTAAGCCAAACTCTTCCTCCTATAAATTGATTTGGATCATGGTACTGTATCACAGCAACAGAAAAGTAATATACATAATAAAAGAAGACAAGAGAACTCTTCAAGACACTGATACTTTCTACAAGACCTCCATTGAGGAGATGCCCTGCAACATTGTTGACCTCATTTGAGGGTCTGTCCTGCTACCTAGCCCTAGCTAGTATTTCAGTCTTGGAATCCTGAGAAATACCTGAAAAATAGAGAGAAGGGACCCAAAGAATGGGCATTCTCCTCCTTCCTCCTCCTCCTCCTTCTTTCTCTTCCTCTTCTTATTCTTATTCTTCATATTCTTATTCTTTGAATGAGCATCAATTTTTAAAGGAGAAAAAATACTGCCAGGCATTCTAGTACATGCCTTTAATCTCAGCACTAAGCAGAGAGAGACAAGGGGATCTTTGTGAGTTCAAAGCCAGGTCAGGCTACATAGTGAGATCCTGTCTAAAAGAAAATGTTAATGTGAGACTGCAGAGCCCCTCTGTACAGAAACAATTTTGAGGCTGGAGTGATGGCTTAGTAGGTAAAAAAAGTACCTGCCACCAAACCTAACAACTTAAGTTTGATCCCCCTACAGAGTGGAAGGAGAGAATCAAGTCATGAAAGATGTCCTCTCATGTCCATCTATCCACAGGCACCATACACACAGAGACACAGAGACACATTTTAATTCATTAATAATGCAATCATTTTAATTTTTTTCAATTTTACTTCCCCAAACCCCAGACTTTCTTCCTGTGGTCACCTCCTACTGGAGCCCTCAATCTTACACTATGGATGTACTGGTCACTATAACAACACCCATCACCTATAGATTTACCGACCCATACATAACAACCTGTAATCTGTAGATAAACTGACTCCTTGCCCATAGATATTCTAACCCTTGATAGGAACTCTTGTCACCAGGCACCTACCATGTGTCACCTTGGCTTATGATCAAGATATTGCCCTAATGGTCTCAAGGTGTAAGATGCTATAAGAAGAAGAAACTACAGGGCAATTCATGATGTAATCCCAGATACCTTCATTCCAAGAGTTGAACCTGGGGACTGCAGAACGTGGCATGAACTCATGAGAGATCTCTGTCGGCTCAGGTGTATCACTATTCTGTGATGTTCCTTAAATTTAAAAATAAAAAGAATCATTTTGTACAAAATATTATTTTATACAAAAATATTTTTAAACAAAAGCCATTGGGAAAGCAAGTATATTGGACAGCCACCTGCGAAGCCTGACCACTTGAGGTGACTACCTTTTGTGCCACACTTGGTCTTTTCTCTCTTCCTGTTGCTCCACTGAAAGGAGAGTTTTCCTAACAATTGAACAATGCCCTGATGTTCAGACCTCAGTGGAAGGAGTCAACCAAGCCTGAGAAAACAATAGGAATGTAAAGCACTAACTACACATATGGGATGTGTGGTGCATGGGGTCCACTCTATAGTCCTGCCAGACTTCCTGTACACCTTCAACTGTTCACAATGAAACACTGCAGAAAAAAGAACATGGGCTCTTGATAGTTTAATTATAATAAGAACTGAAAACTTCCCACTATCCTGGGCATGAGGGAAAGCCTAAGAGACCTGGGCAAAGGAGGCATTAGTAGTCTTGGTGAGAGGCAATGACTAAAGCAGAGTTGAGAAACAAGAGGAAAGAGCTTGAGATGCTGAGTTTTGGGAATTTTTATGTGAAGTTTGCTACAAATAGGGAGTGAGAAGACTATTGCAGAGATCCAAACTGGTCAAAATACAAAGGTTAATGGACTAGGGGTGTTCAATCTGAACTGGTACATATACAATGCAACAACTACACACAAGACAAAGAGAATATCTCAGAAGATGGGGTAGAAAAACTAGTAAGAGTCAAAGAACCAGGATGCTTCTGGGAGATAGTGTCTTCTAGACATGACAGAGAAGATGCTTCTACAAAGACTCAACACTATGGTTGCCTAAACAAGACTTGCATAATGACAATGCCAGTTGACATACCAACCTGGAATGGAGACATCGCACAAATCCCAGCCCATAGATGAAGAGCTGCAGACCATCAATGGCTGTGGAGACAGGCAGAATCTGGATTTTCCAGGGACTAGTCCTCATATTGGTTATCCAATCTCAAGTGGTCAGCCTTAGAGAAATGTGCATGCCAACAGCACAATGAACTCAGTAGGATGCATGTGTGTGTGTGCGATAACAATAATAATTTTAAAAGAAGTGAATTTTATAGGGAGTGATGGGGGGATGGGAGGAATTGGAGAGGATGGGGGATGAAATTATATAAATACAGTACTCACGTATGAAATTATCAAAAAATAAAAATTAAAAATACAAATCAAGAATGCTGAGTGAGGAATCAACTCCTGGCAGGTATTTATTTAACAGATATGAAAAGACCCAGAAGGAACTTCTAAGGTGGGAAAAACAGCAAGGCAGAAAGGTGGCCTTTCATCTAAAGAGAACTCTGTGGCAAGCAGTCTTGAGAAAGCTCCAAGCAGAAAAGTCAAGAGCAAAGAAGCCCTGGAAAATCAGCAACAGGACTGCGAGGGAATGGTTGCATATTCTATGCCACCCAAAGGGAGCTGGAGCTCTTACTCAGCCTGTGCTCTGTAGTCTACAGCCTCTCTGCTAATCCCTAGTGAGTATCAAGTGGCAGCATCACAAATCGACTCTTCAAAGGGAGTGGCTTTTATCTACTTTGCACCTAGGTGCTGTCTACACTGGTGATCATACATACCAGTACCCTCCAGAGTTCCACATCGTACCAGCCTGGGCCATGTCATGGATCCCACCTCTGCTCCCAGTTCCCTCACTCACCTTTACTTGTCTGGGATTCTGAGGACTTCAGAGTTGATGCACCTAGAAGGCCATTGAAGGGGACCCAAGAGAAGATACTGATTTAAGACAGATTTAGGAAAATGGGGAAATAATTTGGTAATAGACAAGGACGTCAACACAGGGTTTCCAGATAGTGAAAAATATAAATGTTAATAAATCTATCCCAGTATCTTGCAGGCATATAAGTTTGCCAAAATCATGGTATCCTATTTATATCTCCTGCTTTATTTTGTGACTGTGAGATTTTACAGTCATGTGACCTGAGAAACTCTCTTCCAGGATAAGGACATGAAAAGACAGAGTTGAAAACTGTTGTGCTTTATCACAAAGACAGGGAGCGAGGGCCAGTGAAGACATCAATAACAGCCTTTCCTTGGATGCAGATGAGATGTGACTGTATCATTGGCATAGCCTCTCCTTGTATAGAAGTGAAATTCCATTCTTCTCTTATGGGGAGACATACATGACTTCAAAGATCATCAGGCTCAGTTCTACTGTTTTAAGATAAATCATTTCTTATCTTTTTTTTGTTGTAGTCATTGTTGGTTTTTATTTTTTTTAGAAAAAGTGCCACTAAGTATCCCTAGAGGGTCTGGAACTGAAGAGAACCATCTATCTGCCCCTGCCTTCTGAGCGCTAGGTCTTAAAATGTGAACCACAAAGTCTGGCCAAATGATTTCTTATAACTTTGAACTAAACAGGAAACTCTTTCCCTGCTGACTGGCTTTCAAAGTGCTGGAAGGTGCTATGTACACTTACGGGGTTGGAAGGACACCCAGCACTGGACACTACATGATACAATACTGATCTTCCAGGCAAGATCTGCCCACTGGTATGACAGTGACAAAGATGTAGGTATACCCCATGCATGCCTGGTGCCCAAGGAGTTCAGAAGAGGTCCCCTGGAACTGATGTTACAGACAGTTATGAGCCATCATGTGGGTGCTGGGAATCAAACCTGGGTCCTCTGAAGAGCAGCCAGCTCTCTTAACCAATGATCTATCTCTCTAGTCCTGCCCTTATACTTATACCCATATATTTGTGCTGCCCACAACCTGAGTCAAATAAGCTTCTTGTTGCAGTAAGCAGTGGTTAATGCATTACTGTTCAAACTGATAGAAATATATGCCTGTAGTTGCTCAGCTATAGATGGTATGTTGTAGAATATTATTTTAATGTGTGTTATTTTTGTTTATGTTGTATTTGCAGTTTAACTTCACAGTTTAACTCTGTGAAGCTGTGTTACTGTAAAACTCCTGATGGTCTAATAAAGAACTGAATGGCCAATAGAAAGGCAGGAGAAAGGATAGGCAGGGTTGGCAGGCAAGGAGAATATATAGAAGGAGAAATCTGGGAGGAGAGAAAGAGAGAGCAAGAGAATAAGGAGATGACACCAGGGACCAGCCACCCAGCTACACAACCAGCAATGGAGTAAGAAAGAAAGGTATACAAAAATAGAGAAAGGTAAAAGCCCAGAGGCAAAGGCAGATGGGTTAAAGTTAAGAAAATCTGGCAAGAAACAAACCAAGCTAAGATTGGGCATTTATAAGTAACAATAAGTCTATGATCTATGTGTGTATTTATTTGGAGCTGGGTGGTGGGCCCCCAAAAGAGTAAAAGAGTAAAACCAACAACAACAATGATATATCTGTTATTAACTATACACATACACACACACACACACACACACACACACACACACACACACACACACACACACACCTTAAAGCTTAGAGAACACTGCGGAAGAAGGGGGCAAGAAAACCAGAAGATGGGAGGCATGTTGTGAAATGTTATCCTCTGGACACAACATGGCTCTTGCACTCATGAACAGCAGCTGTGATTATCTGTACACAATCAAGTCAATTAAAACTTCCAGCATGGAGGAAGAAGGGCTTCCAAGGCCCCACCCCAACTGAGGATTTTATTGGAAGTTGATATTCATTAGGAGGTGGACAGTCACTTTTCTTTATGATTGTTGCCCATGTTAGGTTCCCAATGCCTTGGTAAATGACCCTGCACCACATGAGCACTAACTGGACTCTGAATTTTGAAAAAATTAATTTAAATTATAAATGGAAGACACAAAGCTTTGGGGTGAGATGTAATAAGGGTACTACTGTACAGAGGAGGAGCAACAGAGAAAGGGGTGGGTATAATTAAGAAACATTGCATACATGTATGAAACTTCTAGAAAAGAAATACAAATTTAAATTTTAAAAGATAAATGGTTTTTGTTCTTTTCTTTTCCAGAGCTGAGGACCAAACCCAGGGCCATGATTTTTCTTCTTAAATTAAAAACCACAGCCTAGGAGACAAATGGCACATGTCTATAATTCTAGCATTTGAGAGGCTGACAAAACAGGGTTCTGAACTGCAGGCCAGCCTGGGCTGTATAGTGAATACCTATTTTTAAAAATGAGCCCAGAAAGTGTAGAGGATTGTAAATAATGCAGGATCTTTGCAAAGCTTCTGTGTCTGGACCCGTGAGCTCGATAAACCACTGAAACATGTACAGCAAATTACAACTGAAGTCATTCATAGAATCGAGATAGACTCAAGGTTGCTCTGCACACTGATTAAAGTGAAAGGCAATGGAAGAAAACAGTAGCCCTTAATGAGAAACACAAAGCACACTGAGGCACAGAGTATTTGATTTCCTTTCAAATGTTTGTCTAACTCTTCTCTGGACTTCACTACTAGCAAATACTCAAGACATATTCATACTACAACACACACAACACACATATATACCACATATGTATATATACCACACCCACACACCACATATATACACAACACACGCCACACATGCATGCACACATACACACCACACATACCATACACATACAATACACCACATACACACACCACACCACACACACACAAACCCCACAAATGCACATGCACACACACACACACACACACACACACACACACACACACACACACACCATCCAGTTCTTATCCTCACCTCAATAAGTAAGGCAATGACTTACTTGTAGGTGTTAGGGTTACTGCGTTTTCTGGAGCTATTGAATTGGGGCCTCCGGGTTTTTCCGTAGGCGCTTTTGGTGCTTGTAACTGTACACTCCCTTGAAAAGAAAACTTGTAGCAGTGAAATGTAATTAACTTCCTTTCAGTCCCCTAGAAACAAGTCTTTAGTCCCCCTGCAATGAGAAAGGTCATCGCTGAAGCTACCTGGTGAACCTGCTGTTTTCCCAAAAGGATAAAGCTCATCTACATAAGGCAAGCAGACATGAAGTAGGCATTCCAATAAACACCAAAATAAAAACACAGAAGAACTCTGAACCTTGTTCATTATTCTAAAATTATCGGTTCTCTTTCATACATGAGAAAGAAATACTTATCTAACAGCCCAGCGACTGGAGCAGTGAGACACTCTGCCTCCCATGGAATGTTTGGGTTCTGATTTAGAGCTCCTGGTATGAGGTCAGCTTACCACATGGCCCTGGAATTCCTTCCTGGAACCAGAGCAGCCAAGGAGACTGACTAAATGAGCCAGGTGTCCTACGGTAAGGCAGACAGGAAAGAGACCAGGCTCCTGCCTTCAGGGAGATTGCAGATTAGGGAGGAGGTGGTCGAGAGTCTTGATTCAGTGTGATAAATCATAAGAAAGTGACAGATGCTAGCTGCCATGCCACACATGTATAATCCCAGCACTTAGGGGGTAAAGGTGGAAGGCTCAGCAGTTTGAGGTCATCCTTAGCTATATAACAAGTTAGAAACTTCAAGGCCAGCCTGGGCTGCATGAAACCTTGTCTCAAAATAAATCCCAACAATAAAACCTAGAAGGCTGCTAGAAAGCAGTAGACTGTATTGTAGTCGAGGCTCACTTTTTGAAAAAAATGTCTGGATTCTAAACCTTATTCTTTTTATTTATTCTTTCACAAATTCTTATACTTACAGAACTATATAATATGTAAATATACAAATATATAAAATACTTTGATCATAATTCTGCCAACCCTCTTTTTTAAACTTCTTAATACATTTTTAAATTAAAATATAATTATATCACTTCCCCCTTCCCTTTCTTCCCTCCAGCTCCTCCCATGTCCCCCCACCCTCAAACTGATACCCTGTTTTCTTGCTACATGTAATGTATTACTGTTACATATATATGTACATACATGTTATACACATAGACAGATAGATAGATATGACATGATAGATAGATGATAGATAGATAGATGACAGATAATAGATAGATGACAATAGAAAGAGAGAGACAAATATGCAAGTACAACTTGTTCAGTCTGTTTTATTGTGTTTATGATCACACAATGGGGCTGACCACATTGTATTAGATAACTGTAGGGAGAGAAGAAAGCCCTAAGTTAGTGAAGACCTGAGTGAATGAATATATGCTCTTGACATAGGCATGCCCATTTCAAGGACCTCAGAGCCTCAAACCTATTGAGGAATGGCAAGTCCCCTCCCCCCCACACACACAACCCCTGCCCAGGAAGGTGAGGCTCAAGGACATGGCAAAGCCTTCCTCTGGTCCAAGTGTGGATGTTGACTGTGTATGCAGAAAAATATCCACCAAAGCTTTCTTCACCCAAATGTTTATGACCTGAAGACTGCTCTCCTCCAGAGACTGCTCCTACCAAGATCAGAAAAAATCTGCCCCTTTGATCCATCCATATAACACAAACCCTGCCTCCATAACCGTACATGATAGTCCTGCCTCCTCCTTGTTCAGCTGTATGCAATAACACTACCTCTCATTTCAACTCCACATAATAAGCACACTTAGCTTCCAGGGTGCTGAGGTTTCTCCAGCAAAGAGTAGAGGGCACCCAATGCCAGCTTTCCTGCATGTCCCTGTATCTGTCTGTCTTTTCTTCACTCACTCACTGATCCCAATCAGATCTGTCCCTGGAGCTATGCTAGATGAATCAGATAAAACAATTAAGGGGCTCATCCCTGGCTAATTCTCCTTCTCTTAGCAGTCATTAGCTGCCTATAGCTCTTTGTCTAGGGACAGGATCCTGTGAGATTTTCTCTCTTCCTTGTCAGTGTGTCTACTGATAATGCCATTGTTCAGGTCTTGTTTATGTTTTTTTTTTTTTATCATTTCTAGGAGAGATGATCTCACAGCAGGCTTCTTGATATCTTGCCTGTTACAAATTCTCTGCTCCTCTTCTGTGATTTTTCCGGAGCCATAGATGCAGGGACTGTGGTGTAGATGTATCTACTGGAACTGGAATCCTCACCACTCATTGATCTCTGCAGTGTGTCCAGTTGTGGTTTTCTGTAATGGTCTTTATTGGCTGTAAAGAAAATCTTCCTTGATTCAAGGTGATAACTACAATCATCTATGGGTATAAGGCCAATATTTAGAATGTAGTTAGGAATTATGCTGACCTAGCAAAATGGCAGTAGTACATCTAAGATGCATGACCTCACTAGCCCCAGGTAGTTGGCTAGAATTCTAGTACCAGACATGTTTTCCTTCCTGTTGAGTGTCTAATCAGCTTTAAGTCCAATTAGACATCTGTTTGTTAGTACCAACATGTGAGGGCCACTATTGCACCTTTATGGATATCTTGCCATGCTGACCATTGTTGTGGTTCATAGGTATCACAGCTAGTAAGGACTATTAATTGTTTCCCTCCCTTGGTAGCTTGCATAATCCTTTCTGGAACTATTGAAGCTAGACCTCAGGAAAGGAGCTTTTGGGTTATACAGTTTGAATCATTCAAGTCCTGTGCCCTAAGTATACAATGTCATCATCAATAAGGACTGACAGGGAAGACAGGGCAGGACCTCAAGACAGGAACCTGGAGGCAGAAATTGGACCAGAAGCCATACAGGAATGTTGCTTACTAACTTTGTTCCTCATGAGTTGTTCAGCCTGCTTTCTTATACTATCCAGGACCACCTGTCCATGGCTAACACCATCAGTAGTGAGCTGGGCCCTCCCACATCAATCATTAATCAAAAGAAATGCTGCAGACTTGCCTACAGGCCAATCTTACATATTTTCTCAGTTAAGATTCTCTCTTCCCAAATATATCTAAGTTTTTGTCAAGTTGACAAAAACCAACCAACACAACTCTACACATATACAAAGCAGCCACTCACTGCCTCTAGCTCTTCAGGAAGGAGTAGAACCTCATGAGTCTCTCCCCCAGTCAATGATGAAATGCCCTCGGGCCCAATCCTGTGTGGGTCCTGCATGGGTAATCATAGACACTGTGAATTCATGAGTACAATGACCATGTTATGTCTAGAAGACATCCTTTCAAAACATACTTCACCATCCTCAAACTTTTAGATTCTTTCCATTTGTTTTCTATGATGCTTCTTGAGCCTTGGAGGAAGTGATATAGATATTCCATTTAGGACTAAACATTCCACCATTACTTATTCTCAGTACTTTGACCAGTTATGAGTCTCTGCATTAACCCTTGCCTGTATAAGCTTCTTTGATAAAAGCTGAGAGTACACTAATACATAGATATAAAAATATGGATTAAGAAGAGATTTTGACATGTCCATTCAGTAAAAGAATTATAATAGGTTCCTCACTAAGGCCTATGACCTCCCTACCTGTAGATACCCCAATGCACTCTAAAGCTAAATTTTTGAATTTCATCAATTCACTTAAATCCCCTCAGCTTCAGTTTGCTCATGTGTAAATCCTAGAAAAAAAAAATAGTACCTAGTTCACAGGGTTAGTGAGTTAAACAGTGCAAGCCTTCATAGCTCAGAAAAACAGAACTGATGGTTTTGGCTTGTTATAATTTGAATAGAATATCAGCACAGGCACCCAATTCTCCTGCACAGACCCTTCCTCTTTGTGGCACAAACCTTCCTCCAATCTCCTCCAAGGAGGGTGCACCTGAGAGCAGATGCTCCCTAATGACTGCTGTCTATTCTACCTGCATAAAGTTTTTCTCTGTGTGATGTCACAAGGCAGGGTGGTTGCCAGGGTAAAAGAGTATCTTCAGAAGCCAAAGTTCTCCAGCCCTCACAGACTGAAGACCATGCAACTGAGGAAACCCCACATATACTGCCCATGTTTCACTCCTACTTCTCACATCTGTCTGCAAGGCCAAGGTAATTTGCTTCTCCTCTGAAGTGACTACTTAATCCTTCCACCATTTGAACATCTGTCTAAAATTGCAACCTCCTCTTCCTGTGGCCCTGCTTCACATTCAACCCTACTTTCTCCTCCCCATAGGCAACAGGAGCAGACTGGACGAAATCATGAGTTTTGATCTAATGAGGTCAGGTTGCACAAAACCTAGTCAAGAATTCAGTGCAAACTGGGAGTGTAGCTAGGTGGTAGAACATTTGCCACCCTAAAGGCCCTGGGTTTGATCCCTAGAATTACAAAAGCAAACCAATCTACTTATGCTATGGTATGCCACCAAACACCCACACAGCATAATAGCTGTTATGCTGGCCAATACAGCACAGGGGTAAGAAAGTCTCAACTCTCATAGGAGTTCACAACCTTGTATGCTATTAATAGGGGAAGAGAGCCAACAATAAAGAACCAAAAATAAAAGGCATGTTACATGGCAGCTTGTACTATGAAACAATTTTTAAGCACGGCAATGAGATGAAAGTGAATTGGCTGGAAGATCAGAGAGGATTGCCAAATAACCTTAGAGCTGGGGCCCAAATGAGAGGGGGAAGGGTAGCCCAACCAGATGTTTGATCACTCAGAGTGAAAGTGTACATATTTTCTCTTCACTGTCTCCTGCATTTGCATGTTTCTGTCTTCCTTCTTCCTGAAGAATCATCTCAATTTATTTCAGTAGAGATCCCCTTTAGTTCACCTGGTTATTTCCTCATTTCCAGAAAGATGTTCTTTCCCAAGGCAGAATTTTCTATTTGAGATAACCTTCTGGAAGAGTAGGATTATGAGACAGACACCATGCCTGGAAACTCTGAAGGACATTCCTAATGAATCAGTTGGGACTAGAGTGGTTGCTTAGAAATTAAGAATATTTTCTGCTCTTCCAGAGGACCTGAGTTTTGTCCCCAGCTCCTACGCACAATCATCCATGACTCCAGATCCTGCCTACCAGGGGATCTGGCACCTTCTTCTTTTATTGCTCTGGTTCTTTGCTATGATCCAACTTTTAGTCATTGCTTTCCATAGTTGATTTACTGTGTTTCACCAGCTTGAAGACATTTCCAGTCATCTCATCAAATGTTGTGGGGCATTCAACATGGAGTGCTGAGGGACACATCTTTATATATTCAGGTTTAAGTGTTCTCTGCAGAGCCCCTTTGTTTTGAGGACAAGTCAAACCTGTTCAGGGCTCAACCTCACCTCAAATTTACTATCATTGCTTTCACATGATTCTTGATCCCAATGACATGAAACACTCCTTACTAATATTCTGCCCCCATGAATGATGCCAGCCTTTTGTGTCATATGTGCAAGGCCACCAGTTGCTACCAGTTTCCACTTCACCAGCTCTGCCAACTCCTTTCTTGCCTAGTCAGTCATCCTATAGAATCTCATCTTTCTCCATGTGAACGCTTCTCTCCTGTCCCTGGTGCTGTATCTTTAATATACACTATTCATTGTATTTCCCTTCAGAGAACTCATTACTTACCTTTAATTTTTGAATTGGTATGTCTGCATATATTTGAAAGTCAGGACAACCTGTGTGAGTCAATTCTTCTTCCACCATACCAATCCCAGATACCGAACTCAAGTCATCAGGCTTGGTGGCATCACTCACCTTTTCACATTTAGTATTTCCTTTACCAAGTTTTCCATGGCAAGGACGATATTTAATGATGACTATGTTCCATGTCTCACAACATATGCACCTAGTAGGTGCTCTGGCTCAGCTGATCAGATGAGAGGAAAAGTCTTATCTGTCCCGACACTGATGAAAAACCACCTTGTGAAGTGTTATTGCTGAAATACTTGAGTCTAGCTGGAGTGACTGTGGTGGGAAAGCAGGGACCAACAGAGTCCAGTGGGGAAGGGGGCAAAGGTGGTGCTGGGAGGAAGAAACTCGTGAAGGAATCACTCCAGGTGAACTGTGTTCAAGGATGGTCGAGTCCCCACACGACTCGGCCTTCCCTGTCCACCTGTTCCTCATTCTCTTTTGCTGCCAAGCCCTTCATCTCGTTTCTCTATCCCTACCTTCCTCATTCTTCCCCGGAGGCTCACCTCACTTTTACCACCTCTACAGCACAGCATCCAGTGGGAGTCAAATGTTCAGGTTTTTATCAAATGACACCTTGAGTCTCAAGTGACCATACACTGAAACCATCAGCCAACATAAACCTGCCTGCCTTTTCCTTGGGTATTTTGTCACATCAATGGGATGCTAACACAACAGTCAATGAGAACAGTAAGGGATATTTCAGCACAAGGTAGAGGGTTCCCAGAACGACAATGAAGGCACTGTGGGAGATGGAGGGCATAAATATCAGTGGCAGCCACTAGAACTTCAAGATCAGAACATAGATTTATCAAAATGTGTTAGAATCAGAAATAAGTGTGATACAAAATAATGTAGATGCAGAGGCAGAAAAGAACACATTAAGATTTGCAGATGATAAGCCCAAAGTGTAAGACTATAGCTAGAAACAATCAGTCAAACCTGTGTTTTAGAGGGAAGGGACAGAGAGCAGTCTACATGAGGGAAAGGAAGAGGAGGAAAAAAGCAGTCACCTTGGACAGGACACAATGGGCACAGTTGAGACCTGTAGGTAGGAAATTGAAGCAGCAATTCACATAACTGAATGGAAGTGGACTGGGCAGGTTTGAGTTGGGGAGGAAGGGGAGACAAGTCAGAAGGCAATGATCTGAACCATATATAAATAATCTGGCATCAATATAATAAAAGGGATCCTAGGAGTGCTGGACAAACTACCACTAATAGTCCTGACGCTCCAGTGTCACGTAAGCATACGTAAGAAGTGACAGAGAATCCTTCCAGGAAGTGGGACAGTAGTCTGGAACTTTGAAGGAGGTACTGGAGATTAAAACCTAGACCTTGCACCTGCAAAAGCTAAGCAAGCCCTCCATCCTGTACTACACCCTTAGCCTTAGAACTTTCTTTCGACTCCTAGTATAGACTCACCATGGAAGGCCCATTTAAAAACACTTTTATGAGATAATACTGCTTGCTAATAAGGTTATAAAATAAGATGCCAGAGTGCTTATGGACTGTTGCATACAATATATGGAACTCCTTGGGAATCTAGAAATCTGAGAAATGGGGCTTCTTTGGGATATTAAAATGCAAGATTAATATCATTTTGACAGTATGATTCTAAATACATTTTTTTTCACTCTCTTACATAGGCCATATTACTATTTTCTCCAAGAGTCATTGCAAAAATCACAATAAAAGTCATCAGTTACTTTTTCCTATAATATTTATTAAGAGACTATCAAACCCTGCAAAGGAGGGCACTAAATGTTACATCCCAAGTTGCCTGAAGCTGTAAGAGTCAGAAGTGAACACAGAATTTTAACACTACTTCTCACCACTAGGAAGTCCTGGACCCTTGAGGGCTAGATGAATCTTATGTGCCACAAATTTCTACCCAATACCTTTGAAGCATATCCAGAAATGATCCTTGCCTGAGTCGTTGAATTCCGTTTGCTCCTTTTCTCCTTTAAAGGAACTTCCTCACTACCGGTGATGGACTCAGACAGAACTCTCTTCCTGAATCCTCCCTCCTATCAAGCAATCTTTTCATATAGAGAAGATAAGGAAAAGGCTAACAATGAACTCAGAGGGTACCTTGAAAACTGGTGTCCTAATGGGCGCTAATTTCCAACATGTCAAAGAACAAATAGCCTTGCTTCTGCTTTATCAGGAGAATTTCTGAACCCACATGGGACAGTCCTTACAGTTACTCAAGTTCACAATGCCCTGTTGTCTGTAACCCTCAAAGCTGTGAGCCATGGAATTCTATGGAACCCAGGATCCAGTGGTGTCCCATGTCCTCAGAGTTGTTCATATTCCAAAGAAATCTGGGTTCACATGTCAGCGAAAATCCCTCAGGATACAGGAACCAGGAAACTTCACTTTTCATTACTTAAGATTTTCTTGAATTTTATTATTAAATCTTTATAAAAACACTGAACAAAAGTGAGTGAGAAAACACAGTGGTTAAAAACACAAACTCTAGAGTCAAACAATCTCAACTGTACTCCTTACTAAATGTGTCCCTTGGGTAAGTTGCTCAATATCTCTGCTTCTACTTCTCCATTTGTAAAACTGGGATAGCAACAATGCCTACTTTATAGAATTAAGGGAATTGAACAAGTTAATCTTTTTTAAAAACATTTAAAATGAAGCCTAGCACATTTTAAGTGCTTATGTATTTGTAAAACAAAAACAAAAACTAAACTAAATAAATAAAAAAACAAATTAACTGGATTAATTTCTCCATAATCTAAGAGGTCTTTCTCCAAACATACTTTTTTAGATGTTACAATAGATGTTTATATACAATTGTGTCCTTCTTATGGTTGTTCATTCTGTTACATACATTGCCAGTGTCCACAATTATAATTTATAGTGATTGCCTAAAAGAATTATAAACTAACTGCCCAACAATTCATTGATAAGTGCCAATGGACACTGACACACTAGATTATTAGCTATATACTCTCTGTTTCAAAACTCAGTCTCATACTTCTAGGCAACAGCCTTTCTATCTTCTATCATTAGTGATCTCCTTTACTAATCTTTTCTAAGAGGTTAACCTTGATCAACAGTAAATATTCCACTCAATACTGCACTAGTTTTTTCTTAGATTCAGATTTACTATTCCACATTCTATCCCTTAAAGAGCACCTAGACCCTCCCTGTTTCTATAATTATGCACAAAATGTTAATGTAAAGCTTTCCATCTAACATTCTAGGCAGTATCTTTCCAGTCAAAACACTATTCTTGGCATAAGACTTTGCCCTTAATAATGCACACTGATCTACAAATAAGAACTCTTGTTAGAATGCCTCATTCCCCCAATCATGTTCCTCAAATATGGATTCCTTGCGGGCCATATAAGAAGCTTAAGAGCTTTTATCTATAATTCCCTGACACTGCATAGGGGCTACACAACTGCCGAAAGGTTTTCCCTAGTCTTTTCACTCATGTCACTCATAAGGTTTCTTCCAGGAAGAGATTTCCTGTTGTATAATAATAAAGACAATCTTACTGAATTCTTAGTGAAAATTTTCCTTGTTGGTAATACTTATAGGCTTTTTTTTTCCCTCCCAATGTTGTGTTTTTATTGTATGTTATTAAACACAGTAAAAGAAATGTCTCTGACTAACTCAGTTACAATTTCTCTTCACTATGATTTCTCTGATGCTGAAGTAAGGCTGAATGACCACTAAAGGCTCTTCCACACTGACTGCATATAAAGCGTTTCTCTCCACTATGCATTCTCTGATGGATAATCAGAGAAGAATTCTTACAGAAAGCTTTTTCACAGTGATTACATTTGTAGGGTTTCTCTCCAGTATGGTTTCTCAAGTGTACAATAAGGGAAGAACTCTCATTAAATGCCTTCCCACATTCATTACACCTGTATGGTTTCTCTCCAGTATGAGTTCTCCGGTGTGCAATGAGGTGAGAGCTACAATTAAAGGACCTTTCACACTGATTACATTTATAGGGTTTCTCACCAGTGTGAATTCTCCGGTGGGCAACAAGGTGACAGCTCTGACTAAAGGATTTTCCACATTTATTGCATTCATAGGGTTTTTCTCCAGTATGAGTCCTTTGATGCCTAACAAGATGAGCCATCTGGCTACAAGATTTCCCACATTTATTACATTCATAGGGCTTAATTCCAGAATGAATAATTTCATGTTTAGTAAGGGCTGAGCGTTCTCTGAAAGCTTTGCCACATTCTTGACAGTTATAAGGTTTCTCTCCCGTGTGAGTTCTCTGGTGAGCAATAAGATGGGAACTCCAACTGAAGGACTTTCCACACTCAGTACATTTATATGGTTTTGCTCCAGAGTGAGTTCTTTCATGTTTACTAAGG